ACTAATCCGTCCTGATGTGTTTTGGGACGAATTTCTTCAAAATAACTAATCTTGTTATAAAATGCTAATATAAACAACTGTATGCTTCTACTAGTTTTTGTAAACCCGAATGGTGTATGACATTTCTGAAATTCTTGGTCAAAATGGACCCAAACATCGCTTTCTAAGGATTAAGCAGAACTATATGTTTTTATATCATCAGAACACCCTGTATATTTACAGATTAGAATGCGTTCGATAATGCAAAAGATCGATCCCTTCATTTGTTGGTAGTAAGACCGTACAAACTATTGGTTCAACCGAATAGACGAAATTTCAGAACATAGTTCATAAGGAACACTAATTCAGAACTGGCGATGCTTTGCACAGCACTAGGGTGTCTTCTCCCTAACGTAATGATACCCTTCGCTGAACGTCGGACCCAAACTTCTCTTTATTGCCCTGCTGGGTTTACTACCCTACTATATCGTTATCTTCCAGTATACAGGACTCTCATTTTTTACGAGTTTTATCACTACTCTCAGGCAACTTCCATCAATTGATGTTTTCATATTCAATAGAACATATTGATAGTTATGTCCCCCACAGGAATAGTTCTAAATTCGAATGTAGTTATTTGTTTAATGCAGTAGCGTTGGAAATATGAAATGGTACCCTTGTTATACCAATATTGTGATATTTGAATGTTCTATTATACAAACACGGGGTTAGGTACTATTATTAACTGTGACATTACATACGAAGTAATTAACCATTTAACAGTGTTTGACTAGTATACTCGTTAGAAGGTAATGACCCCTTTTTGGGTAATGACGAGTACACTCGTGAAAATGTGCAAAAAAATTAAATAACATTTGTTATAAAAATTAAAATTTTAGTAAAAATTGAAAAATGGTCACACATTTTCAAAATAAAATTCCACCATTAAAGGATTAAGAAGTTGGACAATAATAAAATTCTAACTGTATCAGGAAATGACTATTACATAGACAAGTCTGCGAAATTGTGAACGTTGAATAGTAGAAACATATCGTTGGAAAATATTGAAAAATATATAAAAATAATATATCGGTCAGTAAAAAATAATACCGACAAATAAAATTTTCTGATGGTTTACACACTACAGAAAAAAATGTCATACCGTTTGATCACAATATAGGCCAAAAGGCTTTAAATATTGAATAAGAAGTTGAACGAAAATCTAAATTTGTAGCTTTAATGGTGTGATTGTTTTATGTCATGAAAAATTACGAGATTTAGATTATAAATGACTTTTTAAATCGTATTTGATCTTATTAATCCGTCCTTTTGCTATTAATCCTAAAGTTTTGTTCTAATAATAAAATAAAAACATAAAAATCAATATTAAAAAATTAAGTGTTCTAGTATACAAAAAAGGACTTAACCACATATACTCAAGTCGCTCAATTAATTCGGATAACAAAGGTTCTATCCTAGTAATGTCTCATTTGCGATATTATAAAATATTCTGCAATATTTTAAAATATATTTAAAATATTACATACTGTAATAAAAAATACAATGGATTGAAAAAGGAAATAACTTCCTTAAAATTTGTCGAAACTAATTTCATAAACGCCAGTAGGTAAAATTAACGAATATAATTTACGTAACTAAATTCACCAAATATTCCATTATGCATATCTTCATAAGCGACATTCAACAATTTGCGAAATTAGTCAATTTTGCATACACATGTCCTATCCGTCTGTTTCGAAATTACAGTGGGGATTAATTACAGTAATCTACCGTTCATACACGGTCTAGTAGAGATTAATTCAACAACACTTATGATTTAACGTTTGCGAATTACAATTGCAGGTCCCACTTAATATGTTCATTCATCATTGAATTATAAAATACCTGTCTGTAACTGGCTGCTTTAGCGATAAATCAATTTTATTGTAGCCATAAAATTAATTATACTAAGGAGAAAATCATATTAATTTTATTGAATTGAGTGATAATATTTATAACTTCCGCCATGGACACTTAAACGTTATCAAATAATGTTTAAATAACAATAGTAAGAAAAATGTTTAAACGAAAGGACAATTATTAAGCTTTACTGTAAATGCACTAGACTCACATACCCAGATAGCACCGTAGATCCAAGGAACGTTCTTTTTATGTCCAGTTTATATCTGAATGTCCTATGCCCATTTTGGACATTCCTAGGATGTTCGTAAGACTTACATTTCAAATGTTCTAGAAACGTCAGCACCGAAAGTCCTACGGATGTTCACAAGACTTAAATTTTGCATGTTTTATTAGGTCTGTCCGTTTCTTAAGACTTAGGAATGTTCGTGGGATTTAAATTTCAGATGGTTTCGTTTAGTAATTTTGCCTCAATGTCACTCCGTGCAAGGTGTTGGAACCCGATGAGCAAGGTGTCATTCTTTAGAGAATCGATAGAGAAGTGTAACGATACTAGTGGTATTGTGCGGAAAACTCAGAAAATTTGATAAAATATATCTTTTTAAACTGTCTCTAACCAACACAGAATCAATATTTTGCTCTGAATCAGTGATTTTTTCTTTAACTTTCGCTAACCGTCATATAATCAGTACCTATTTTGCTTTGAAAGTAAACATAAACACAGTATACACACAGATCATAACCCCCAGACCTATTTTTTCATTCTAATTCATTACAGGAAATTTAACCCTTTATTTATTACCAGACTTGATCTAATTTCTACTAAGTGCAGAAATCGCAGGACTGTTAATCTTTTATTTATTAAACACAAACCAACCTAACCAAACTTCTATCACCTTGTACAGAATGAAGTCTAACCGTAATTTTAAACATTTGGGAAACGTTTCTCATACGCCTTTTAAGACATTACCATAGCGTTTTTAAAAACTCTTTAAACGTTCCCAAACAATACAGAGAATGTTGTTTTTACACATTCGGAAAAAGTTCTGAGAATGTTGACACAGTACGTCCTCAGTATGTTCCACTTTGTAAATAGAACCTTCCTAGGACATATAAAGACCTTAACGGGGACCTAATAGGGACATAATGGACCTTTTCAGGACATCCTCCGAATGCACAGAACGTCCGGAACGTACGTTCTCCGGACGTACATATGACGTTTTTGGGCTATTTAGGGAAATAATAAAAAAAGGAAACCAGAATTTATTTACGATTCTGTTACAAATTATACAAACGTAAATGTTTTGCATTTATAATCTGTAAGCGTGTTTTTTTTACTAACAAAAATAGACATGTACTTATTTAAAAATTCAAGATTTTAAAATAACTGAAAAACCACTTGAAATTTTCAGACTATATCAGTACCATTTGATTTATAGAAGAAAAATTATACTCATCCAATTACTTATACGCTGAAATAGTATATTTTAAGATGCAATCAGTTGAAAACTAATTATAGAAAGTTTCGTAAATTAATCAAACGAACAGTATTTCATGTACTTTATTTAACAAACTCTCAATATAAGCAAAAAAGAAACTTCTCTATTTTGTATTATACCGATTCGATATTATTTATCAACTTTCACTGAGAATAGTTCTAGTCAATAGGTACTAACAGCTTAGTACCCAATCTAGTTAAAATTACTCAATTGTAGGTAGTAATTATACTTAAAACAGGCTTGAGAACTGAAGAAGTTCGATTCACAGAATTTATTGTGATTCAAAATTATACGGTTAATGCAATTATATCGGCCGTTACTAATAAGACATTATTACATACGAGTGATACATAAATATATAACTGGTATTTTACACAAAGAGAACAATGTAATGCACAAAAGAATGTTATTGCAAAATGAAGGAAATATACATTTATATCGCAAAAAGAAAACAAGGAAATATTGCTAATTAGAAGAATTGGTGTTGAGAATTTCGAGGGGTCTTGTCATTCTGAAGCCCTGAAAAATTGTCATTTTTGGGGTATTTTTTTTTTCAGTGAACGAAATATTCAACATAAACGAAGTGTTATCTGTTATTAATACACTTATTAAGAGTGTACAATATTTTTTTTTATTTATATGTATATCGCATTGAAGTAAGCGCTTTGACAAAATTATGTAATGCTGGCATAGGTGATTACGGAAGAATGAAGCATCTCAATTAAAAAATTCACTGATTTTTAATCAGTATGAGTATCGATGACGTCGAAACCAAAAGTATGTTACCGCTAAAAAGTAAACAAAATAGCGAAAATTTAAAGCTCAAATTTCGAAATTCGGTGAATTTTTGTAGTCACTTTAGACTGTAAAAAATATGAAATTGTTGATCAAAAAATGTTTCCGTGATCCTTGCAATAGCCACTAATGTGCTGAATAACATTTAAAAATTTCAAACTGGTCGGTTAAATAGTTTTTGTGCAATCACCTACGCTAAGACTAAATAATTTTTTCAAGGCACTCACTTCAGTGCAATATACATATATGTATATACACGTATATAAAATATTTAAAAGTTTCAAAACAAATTTTGTTGTACTCTCAATAAGTGTATTAATAAGTAGACAACACTTCAATTATTTTGAAACTTTCGTTCACTGAAAAATAATTCTCAAAAAATGACAATTTTTCAAGGCTTCACAGTGGCAAGACCCCTTAAACGACAATACCTCGAAAGTGAAAATATATGACGTGCGGCGTTTTTCCTAACGATCATAGAACTTACTTTGTAGATGCGCCTCGTGCATCAACCCAATAATAAAGTCCATCGGAAGATGATTACCGGCATAGGGTCTAAATTGGTCTCGAAAATGCCGGGAGATTTTTTACATGGTGTCCCCACGGGTTCCAGGATACCGTGTGGCCTCTGGGACATACGCGTGAATCAGTGTCGTTGATCGCTCCTTAGAGTTTGCTCGTGCTCTGGAGCACCGGAGTCAGTCGAGCTGCGAGCTTCGACCGCGGAGGTCGCCGGACCACGAAGTTCGTCGCAGGTGCGACGCGTTCTACCCGTGTCATCCGCCGCGAAAGCACCAGCCACGATCTATGGATCCTTCGTGGAAAGAAAACGAATCACTCTCGATGCAATTGTTGCACGGAAACGAACGGCTTTTAGGTAATGAATCTCGGAGTTTTCGTGACATTTATTGCGAAACGCTGTTCGTGCTAACGGTCGCGCAACCATTGGTAGGTCTAGTAATTTGTTCGGGTCAGGAATTCGTTTCGAAACATTCCTTAGGCATTCCCTTCTTTTTATTTTTCATGATTTAATACGCTACTTTCCTTCGATATACCTAATAACACTGAGGAACAAAAAAAAAATTGTTTTCATGTTGTCACGGATTTAAGATCGGTTCTTCGTTTTAACTATATTGGCTGTGATTTTCAAAACAATCGAAACTGCTGAAATTTAACGTTTGCGTCGATTTGAAGTACCTACTTCTTTTGCTTTTGGTTACTTATCCTCTTCTCAAAACGCTCTTGTGAAATTTGTTTACTTTCGGGTTAGTGATTTCTAAAGTGAAAAATAAAATAAGTAATTTTATTTCGTTTCGAGGTGAATTTTATGAACGTGATTGTGTACTTTTTCATATTCTTTCTCATAACTTACTAATATTTTCTATGTAATTATCCTGTCTCATCTTGTAGCATTTTATAAATAAAATTAATTCGGAATCATAGAAATTGCTATGTTTCATTTTTTGTCCTTATTCTGCATAAATATTTAAGACATTTGGATATCTTAAAAACTAGGGCCAATAAAAAAACATAGCATATTCAGGATCAGGAGAACTAAATTACTCAAAATCAACTCGTAAATCCCTGACAACAGATTGAATGTTCCCCTGTGTAATTGAACATGTACAGTTGTGATGTTTGAAATAGGTATGATCAAGCGTTTATATGTATCACTTTTTATGTCATTTCTCTGTATTTCTCATTATTTATGCTACTTTCTTTCAATATACCTATTTAACAATCAAACATGTACAGTTATGGTGTTTGAAATAGGTATGATCAAGCGTTTATATGTATCACTTTTTATGTCATTTCTCTTTATTTCTCATTATTTATGCTACTTTCTTTCAATATACCTATTTAACAATCAAACATGCATAGTTATGGTATTTGAAATAGGTATGATCAAGCGTTTATTGTATGTATCACTTTTTCACATCTTCGATCGAATATCTTGTTTTATGAAATCATAGTTTCTATATCTCTGGATTTCATTGGTTTTCTAATCTATTTTATCGGTTAAATTTCAGTTTGCTGCTTGACACATCTTTTGATATTCCGTTATTGCATATCTTAATTCCTTTTGTTTTATTTTTTCAATACTTGTTTCTTGTGGTGTTAGTTGTAGTGGGAAAAAAAATAACTCTGTCTAAAACTTTATTGACACACTTATTTTATTCTGTTTTAAGCAATGATCCCCTGTAAATGCATAAAATTCGTAGTCTAGTTATCGGATTTTATAGAAAATAGACGAAATTCGTTATAACGCTGAGAAAAGCATGCCAAAACTACGTCAAAAGTATAAAATAGAAAAGAAAGGTGGAAAGTTACTCTGTGATAGTGACAGTGGCACTTCTACTGATAGTAAATGTTGTATTTTCATGATAGGATAACAATGATAAATATCGAAAAAAAATAGAAAAGATACATTGTGTATTACGATAGTTCGAAATATTTTGTTGAATATTGAAGCTCACGAAATGCACACAGTTTGTGTATAAATTGTATTTCATGAAAACAAAAATACTGCGATAAAGAAAAATTTCAATCAGTCTCTCTCAAATAAAAATTCAATTTTTCCATAAAAATTTGCTATGGAATGTGTACATTTAAAAATGTCCGGAAATTATTTGAATAAGTAAATATTTTTATTTATTGTGTAAAGATTACAGTGCAAAGTTTTAAAGATGGCTTCAAATGACAAATTATTGTCTATAGTATAGAATCATTTCAAGTCTTGAGACATACTAGAAAAGAAAGAATGTTACGACTCTACATGTTTATGCACATTTAAAATTTGGTAGATCGGATTACAAAAAATATTAATGTAAAATTTATTTTATCTATCAGTAATATTACTGTGAAATAAATACATATTTTATTTTACTGCATTTTACATTTTCCCTGATACTATAAATGCATAAAATCCACAGACATCTGACAAATTCGTCAGGAAAGAACTTTATGTTAATAATTTCAAGTTTGCTGACAATGATACTCTGATCGTAATAGAGAAGCTTACAAGACGAACACCCTGTTCTTCTCTGATTTACATATATTTTTGGAGGCTGGCATTATAAAGATTGCTGTTGCTATTCGTAAAATATTGACTACAATCGATAATTTAAAAAGTATAAATAGTTAAAAATTATATACCACGATACAGTAAATATAGACATAACTGTATGAAATGACTATGGCGCAAGAAGCCAAGCAAATTCAGTTTCTTATGCCATGGAGGTCATGGGTTCGAATCCAGTCAATCAACAAAATATTTTTTTATTAATATCATTCACTGTTGTAAAAAATATACGACCTTCGGAGAACTGATATAATGTAGTCACAAAGTGGAGCTTCCCAAAAAGATAACACTAGAAACTAAGATAATTCTTTTACCGAAGAAAATAATCACACGATCTAATTAACATTTACAATGTTAAAATTAACACATTGGCGACCAGAAATAAGAAATCTCGCTTACAGGCGTGTGCATTTCTCCTAGATCACGGTATCTCTGTTTACATTCGAATATTAGTGGCGTCGTCGCAGAAAATAAGAGATGGTAACGAAACTTTATCGGTGGCCAATGTGATAAACTAGGAAAACTGTGAAACGGGAACAGAGTTGAAGTATTCATAACTTGTAAGTAGGGACGGTGATCCGATACATCCCATAATTCTGTCAATTTCTGTTCCTTCAGCAGCCGAAACTTAAGTACTTTAGGTCTATTTTACGATCAGACTATATGTATATCTCTTTCGCCAAAAGTATCTTTAGAACCTCGCAACCGATAATCGAATCCAAACATCCAGTCGAGCCTCTTCCGCACTGCTCCAAACACTTGTCGCTTCCGCTGACAGTGACTCGAGCTGGCCTCAGAAAAAGTTCGTTCACCGTCTCATTCATTGATTTTCACGATACTACGATACTATACGCGCCTATCGAATTCATATTAACCCTTTACACTCCAAGACTCTTTTATTATAAATGACTAATAGCTGCAAGATGTATTTTTCGTGTCATTTACAAAATGCACATACGTTAATTATCTAATAAAAAATAAGTAAGTAGTTATCGTTTAACGATAATTCGTTAACTTTTTAAAATTCGAAACTTAAAAGTCTTTACATCAATAGAAGATTGTTGCAGATTATACACGGTCTGTCCAAAAAGTTTCAAAACTGAAATTAAAACAACAGTTTTCCGTAAACTGATGATGCTCGTTATCACCAAATATTATAGTTTTCTTTTAAAGAGATATATACTGGTCACAATAATTATAAACACTGTGAAAATAGCTCTGATAATTCTTGTTCAAGATGGTGGAAACCACGACGATCGAAACTTTTGGCTTCACGAGTCATGAGTTTACACAACATTTTGGTCTTAAAAGATATCTCAAAATTTAATCATCCGTCATATTCGTCTGATTCACTTACATTAAAGTAATCCCTGTTACCTATATTGGAAACTAACACAAAGAAACGACAACCTAAATAAGATCATACTGACATTCATAAGGCTTCGACGACTATATACGTACTTTCTTTTTTTAATTATTATGAACAATGTATCATTTCAAAGAAACCTACTTTGAATAATTGCTGGTAAAAAACGAGAATATTCTAAGAAAAATTGCTGTTTTAACTTCAATTCGAAAACTTTTACGATAAACCGTATGGATCTCAATTTAAAGGACTGGAGAATTAAACATTAGTGGCTACATATGTATCTACAGTTAGTTCTGGGTCATTTCTTTATTCTGTCCTCTTACTTTTCGACATTGTTATGATTTGTTTTGTTATTAATATAATATAAAATTGTACTATTGAGCTATAAAGGAGAAAGAAATTACCGATTGTTATAGTCTTCATATTAGAAACAAATGGTCTATTAAAATGAAACTGAGCGAGTACCATTATGAATTCGATTATCTATTTGTTTGTACCACGATTTCAGATACAGCATATCTTATCTAGAAATGAGTCCCTGTATAAAAAGACTCATATTTATAGACATACAGCAAAGAAAACACAGAAACTCGAATAAAACATATAATAATAAAGGTCAAACCATTGGTTTTGAGTTATTCTTAATTTTCAGTTTATTTTTGTAAGTAGAGTCACCTTGAGACACTTTATACATTCGTAGAACCATGTCACAGGAGAAATAATAATTGGGCTAGGTCTCAAACGAACACATAATGTGCCTGTGATTTGTAACTGAAAGAAAGGGGATACTTTTGTAGGTCACGTGTAAAAACACTGACTTGGCTCGTGAATGAAAGATTCAAGCAATGTTCGAAAGTAGATAATCAATATTCAAAGTCTGGTAGGGGTCATTCCACGCGAAATCGGACACTTTTTGGAGCACCATTTCGGATTTTGTTCAAATTTGGATATGTTGTAGTCTTCAGCGATATATAAACGTATCCCGTAGGAATTTGAAAATTTTAAAAATTGTTGATCTTACAGCTGTTTGAAGTTTAGGGTCAACCTTTTTTCAATAAATCATAACTATTGAACTAACAAACTGATCGAAATGAGCTTTGCGTGTACTTATAGTAGAGACATAAGAGTATGAAATAAAAATTATTTCAGTTGAAAAAAGATATTTTTTAACCATTTACTTTGCAATTGTTTTAAACAAATGCCCTGTTTTTGCACTAAGGAAATATTTAAAAATTTGAAAAAAAAAATGAGGATATAGCCCTATTTGTCCTCTTTAAGGATATATCTTCAAAGATATGGACACTTTAAAATTGGCCAAATGAAAATTGATTATACTTAACACTGCGTCGAAGCCCATCGATTCGACCGGCCGTGCCGTACCGGCTAACCTAGTACCACAGGGCTTGGCCGGTCGAGTCGGGGCCCTTGGATATGTCCTTAAAGAGGACAAATAGGGCTATATCCTCATTTTTTTTCAAATTTTTAAATATTTCCTTAGTGCAAAAACAGGGCATTTGTTTAAAACAATTGCAAAATAAATGGTTAAAAAATATCTTTTTTCAACTAAAATAATTATTATTTCATACTCTTATGTCTCTACTATAAGTACACGCAAAGCTCATTTCGATCAGTTTGTTAGTTCAATAGTTATGATTTATTGAGAAAAAGGTTGACCCTAAACTTCAAACAGCTGTAAGATCAACAATTTTTAAAATTTTCAAAAATTCTTCGACATACATTATATTCATATATCGCTAAAGACTACAACATATCCAAATTTGAACAAAATCCGAAATGGTGCTCCAAAAAGTGTCCGATTTCGCGTGGAATGACCCGTAGACAGCATCGAAAAAGTATCAAGTTATAAATTTAAATAATATCTTATTATCCTATCTTCTGGATAATTTCATTTCATTGAAGGAAACATCAAATGTACTCTGCATCTTTTAATCGTAGTATACAGGATGTCTCAGCTAACTTCATCACCTCAAATAATGACTGAACGGAACACTTTATGAAAATTTTCAGGCGTGCAACTTAATCCTCCGTGGACGGTACCAGAGTCACACGCGACATGCGCTCGCGAGAGCGATGCGCACACAGTGATGGAACTGTCCGTGTAATTCGGACTGATCGATGTGTGACATTGTGTGAAAACGGCCGGGCTAAGACGCCGCAGAAGTATTGACTTACGTCTTCGGCGCACTGTATTTTATTGTTTACTCGCTGTCCTCTGTTCTAGCCGACAAAACTTCTACAGTGTAGGTAAGGGCCTCGAGCTCGAGCCACTGTGACTTTGTGTTAGCAATCTATCGATGTGAGTCAGAAATGATCCGGCTTCGGACGCCCCACGAGTCCAGTACTCGGAGAGTTAGATGGCATCAAGGAGCATATCTTATAAGGTACGTACTTTTTTTTGTGGGTGGAGGCATTTCAGTGATTTGAAGATCACCTTCATTTTGTTTAACGGAATGACCTATTTTTTGTACCATAGATCGATAGAGTACCAAATTTTGAGGAAAAATGTGTTGACTTTCATATGCCCTAAACCTAATAGTTAACGAGATATTCACAAAATAGTTTTTAATACGTACTTACTATCTGGAAGCTATAGGTGCTTGAACTGATACCCCTCAAATTCACTACAGTGATTATTTTGTAAATATCTCGTTAACTATTAGGTTTAGGACGTATGAAGGTCAACACATTTTTACTCAGAATTTGATACTCTATCGATTTATGGTATAAAAAACAGGTCATTCCGATAAAAAAAACAAGGTTAACCTTGAAATCTTTTATATGCCTCCACTCACAAAAAAAGACGTACTTTATCAGATGTGCCCCTTGATGCCATTTAAGTTCCACGCCTCAAGATTTTCATAAAGTTTACCGTTAAGTCATTTGTCGAGGTGATCGAGTTAGCTGAGACACCGTGTATTTTACGTACAATCATTTTGTATTCATAATTTTGAATAAATGCGAGAACTTTTTTTAATCGCGCAGATATTGAGTTATTTTTATGTTAACTGAAATTCAGAGTTGCAGCAACTGCAGATGTCATTAGCGTTGAATTCACTGTAATTGGATGTATTTTTTACTCGTCGTTGAAGATTCCAGAGTTGTTGCAGTATTTAATTACATCCTGTGCGTTATATGCAGGTATATGAATATGAATACTTTTTTGAAAATAAAAACACCGACTATGAGAACAGTATTAATATACATATAGGATTTATCTGAAAATATAAGACATTTTTGGAGGATCAATTTTATACGTACGAATCATTAAAAATGTTTGTACACACGTACACCGACTAACGTCAAGGATCTCTGATTTATACTACAAAATCTAACTTCAAACCAAAAACAATAACAATTTCGTCGCTAATAACCGAGAAGTGAATGCGAATGAGAAACGAAACATTTAATTTTTCAATATTAAGCTGCTTTTTCCACCGTGAATTATTAACCCCTTGCATTATAACATCGAGTCAGACACCTGATGACGATTTCAATCTGGATTTTATAAACAAATCGATTTAAGTCGAAGAGAAATACTTTTTCGCTAGTATGAACACTTAAAATTTATAGTAAATCTTACACTTGTCATAAGAATAAAATTTGTTCTTGTATCTGGGAAATTATTAACGATAAAGTAATTCTTCAGAATACAATCGTCAAAAAAATCGTAAGGCAAGGGGTTAAGAACATCTGAGGAAATACATTAACCTCACAGTGGTGTATATTAGTCGCTCAATTTTTTCTCAAATATATACATCATAGTCACTCACAAAATTAATATTCAAAATTTACCATTTTCGTATACGTTTCCACACAGAGCACAAACACAAAAGCACGAGCAAAGTAACAAATAAGAAATACAAACACATGAAAATCTGAAGACAAGATTAATGTGAAATAAATATAATGATTGAAATGAAAAGAAAATTCGAATATTTTGAAAGTCGTGTTTGAAACGATTAGTCGTCGAAGTATGATGCACGAATGTTCCTGAAGTTTGCTCGCGAGGGTTTCTTCATTACTTTCATGTGGAGAATTAATTCTTTAAAAGTTCCCTACAGTTTTCGGAAAATATCCAGCATTCTAACTTATGCATTACCACAGACCATTTAGTATGCAGATACAATAATTAACAATACGTGACGAATAGAGAAATTTGAAGAAAAGTACAGAGGTTGATGCAAACATCCAGTACACTTTAGAATCTGAGAACTTTGTGCATTTAAATTTGTGAACCTATGCCTGTTAAGACTTTTTTTATTACCTATAAATTAGTATCACTGTTTTAAAAACACACAGAAAAATATGGATCATACGGTTTGTACACAATTTCAGCATACCCTACAAATTCTCTTTATTGTTTAACCGCAAGAACTATCTTATAGAATTTTCATAACTGTGAATTGTTACGTAGTTAATAAACTTGCGTAGGATTCTTCGGCTTTGTTTTGACATTTAACTTCAAGGACATGCAGGGTGTATACGCACAATACGTGATGCAACCAAAATAGAGTCGAATTTATACGTGTAAGAAAAAGTGTAGACCTTCATTTTCGAAAAAATGAACTTTGAAAATTCATCTGATGCACACTTACTACATAGTTCTTACAATAAGTATAAACGGTAAGTAATCAAAAGGCACGTTATGCAGAATCTATTCAATTGCTTGCGACTCCAATAGATTTTCAAAGTGGATTTTCTCGAAAATATAGTTCTGAACGTAGAAATTTCATTGCACATTTTTATTCTTTCTATTTATTTCTGCATGTAAAATTATAATAGTAAAGTCGGCTGTACTGCGACTTTTGCCACACTCTGAATTTGACAAATGAAGCTTAACTTTGGTGCATAAGTTATCCAAATTATGTTCACAAGTCTAGTCGTTTAATTATAATATGTTTTATAATTAAATGATATATAATTTAAAAGACCAGCAATATAAAAATTAGTAAAGTTAGATATCATTGAATAAAGACAGACGTAAATTCAAAACAACATGGTCAACCCTCAGAAGCCACACGCCATCTCAGCATACGTAAATACCACACTACTGCAAATTGGGATTTTGACTTTTTGACCGTTAAGTAACTTGGTAAAAAGGAATAGCAAATTCAACTCGTAACGGATTCTTCAGGGTAAAATCTCTTCAGAAATTCAATACGCAGGTACTGTATATGTATAGGCAATAATTGCAAAAGTGAGAAATAATTTTTTAACTATAAAAATTTGATATTGTTATAGTCAGATAGATTGTTAGCACGTACGAAAAAATTGCTGGTGCAAATTCGTACTAGTGTGGTATCTGAGGGTTAAGATTATCAAATTACGATAATAAAATATACAAATTTTAATGAGATATTTTTGCAAAAGATATTTGTGGGTCTCGATAAAAGATCTTGTAAAATTGAACATCTCTACAATTGGAAAGGAATTGATCTGTTAATTTTAATTGGAGTTACTCTTGTAATTTGGAAACATGAATAATTTCGCGGAAAACAAAGTGTTCGTCCTGTTTGTTCAAATCATAGATTGTGTAAATCGTTCGTAGAGCTCGACCTGGACTATTTGGAAAGAAGAGGAGGCGATTCGATAACCTGTGAAAACGCTGAAAGCAGATCGAAAGAGGAAGAAAGCCCTGCAGACACTCTGGATCGTGTCAAAGTTGTATTTCTCGGTGCACCTGGGGTGGGAAAGTCCAGCATAATTAGGGTGAGCACAGCTTTCGCTGAGTCAGATCGACGATTCAGACGCGGTTTAATAGGTCTGCGATAACGAAGGGATTTCTCTGGATCCCATTTAAACGTTTCCCTCAGATCTTGTCTAAAAACATCTATCTCAACGTAACTTTTTTTTTCTATAACAGTGATAATAGGCTGAATCATACATCATAAAGTGAATTCCATTGTAACACCGATTTCCTTTGATATTATCCTCAATAACAACAAATAAAGTAGTATAACTCCCTTAGGGACACCAGATTACCTTACTTCCCTTAAACAACTTTGAGAAAATCTTTGACAAAAATTTACACTCAACACTAACACTTATTTGTTTGACCCCCAATTGTGTTAACAATTTAAGGACCAGCTTAATACTAGAACTACCAAACAAGTCAAAATGTTTCAAAAACTTTTATTATGACATGAAAATAAAGAAATTAATTAATTTATAAATTTGTAAATTTTCAGAAGTTTGTCGTGTTTATCGATCAATCGAAATAGCTATGCGTTTATCGTCGATAGTTCTAGTGTTAAATATTAAGTATAACATAGACTATAATTGAAGATTTAAATATGAATAATTGTTCCACTTTTAACTCTTGATTGGTCAGGTGTAGTCGGAGGAACCCCATGAATATTTTTAGAATATTTTATTTTTATTCAATACTTACTTTAAGTGATAATTGTTCATTTCGATGGTTTCTTAATCATGAGAATGAAAAGTAACTTTTGTAATAAGTAATAAATAACAGGATTTTCACCTTACCAATTAAAGGATAAATTAAGTAAATATAAATATTCCCTTCTTAGTAATGTATGAATATAAACATTTACAAGCAGCCCATTTTTATTGGTAATTTAGTACTCTTCATTTATATTATTGATTACGTCGTAACATATATGCGCATTCAGTTGGAAAAGTGTTAAAAACAAATTAGATAAACTATTCGCTTAATCTGTATCTATACTACAATACCATTATGGATCCAGTTCCTGATCACATAAGTGTAACTATCGCGCCTTTTTTAATATATGTATAAACAGAACTAGTAAGCAAATCCAAAAGAATTGTAGTTATTCGAGTAAATCCATATTTTATCTTTAATTTGGTATTAACAAAGGTGCACAAATAATAAAAAAAATATGATTTAATGTTTACAGTCAGAAATGCAAAGGGATCAAGTTCTGATCACTTAAATAATATCTCTTTATCTCACTTTAAGCTATCAAATTTCTCATATTTTCAAAAGAGTTCATAACTATTTAGTAAACTTATTATACAGTATTTATCTACTAAACTGATCAGGAATTGAATTTTGATCAGGAAGTGGATCCGTAAGCGAATAAGGGTGAATCTCATAACATGACGATTTCAAATAACTCTTAAGTTATTTGTTGTACAAAAAAATTTTTCAAACAAATGTTGCATGGTTTCTGGGAGGACATATAATGCTGTATTCTGTCTTTTGTTGCTTTAGTTTTTTATCGAGATTTAAGGGTCATCTGCAGTTTTTTAAATGGAATGCCTAATATTTTTTTTCGTATTCGAATAAAGCACTAAAATCTGCGTAAAAAAGTATTACACCAAATAGGGTTTAAAATTGATGATGCGTAAAATAATTCGTAAAACAAGTTTTATTTCAAGTGGTGTTCGAAGTGTTGTCCATTATAATCAATGCACTTGCGTAATCGGATTATAAGTGAACGAAGAACTTTTTCTAGCGTTTTTGCAGTTATTGCAACACATACACTAATAATACAATCTCACATATCTTCGGCCATCATTCGTGGCTCGCGATAAACTTTATTTTTTAATGTTCCTCAAACGATTAGGAAACATTCTATTTAATATTTGCCGCAATTGCCGAGTATAATGTGCTGGACAACCGTACTGTGGATATCACATTATTTGACGTATTAGACATGGTACATTTTCTAATAGGCCTGGTAGTGTTTCGGACAAAAATGTGGAGTATGTTTGACCTGTTGATGATCCTTCAATGAAGTACGGTCCAATGATTTGGTGACCAATTATGCCACATCAAAATTCCCTTTCCACCGGTGTTGGTGGTCAATTTCTTCAAATAATGCATATTCTTTGTATTAATATCTCCGCAGTTTGTGACCGTGGCTTCAGTCCATAAAACAGTCTGTACAATTGTATCATTCGAATCTTTCATACGATCCACTCGTGAGAAGTACTCTCGAGAGCTACTCGCGAAAGTCAATTCAATAATATTCTATCCGACAGTCGCTCACCGAGAACAAAACAATTTCGTATTCCTGCGAGAACTGTCGCGCGAGACACATAATGTCCGGCAAGAATCATGTCTGCTTTCCGTTTTCTTTTCTTTATAATTATGGGATTTAATGAGGAGATGCTAAGTTTGATGTGAATATAATTTAATTAAACACAACACTTTTACAACGATTTAAATATAATAACACGAACACGATTTGATTATAATAACACAACACGACAACTCAGAGTAACAACTCGGAATGAATAATTGATAACGCACAACAAGAAGAATAACGAAATCGCTCCACTCTCAACTAACTTCGCAAATAATATACAATATACAGTGGATGTAAAAAGTATTCGTACACCCTTCAAAACGGAACAACTCTTTTAAAATTGGTCCAACTGACTTGAGTTTTTTTGTGAAGTTAGAGACATTAATTTACTAAATGATGTGAACAAAAATTTGAAAAAGTTGCAATTGGTCCGAATCGCGAAGAAAATATTAAAGGTCGTGTTTTACAACTTTTTAATCTGAGGCTATAATGAAAATTTAATAAATACATATCGAAGATTTATGTTATTATATACATGTTGAAAATTTCATGAAAATCGGTTAACGTTGCTACGAGATACAAACTATTAAAAATGTTGAAAATCGCAGTTTTTCCCGACTTTTGATCTACAACTGTAGTAAATCTAACAATTCTCACATCTTTTGATGTCTGTCGCTCGTTTCTGTATTAACCGATTTCAATGAAAGTTTCAGTATGTACATAACTAACATAAATCTTCGATATGTATTTATTAAATTTTCATTATAGCCTCAGATTAAAAAGTTGTGAAACACGACCTTTAATATTTTCTTCGCGATTCGGACCAATTGCAACTTTTTCAAATTTTTTTTTCACATCATTTAGTAAATTAATGTCTCTAACTTCACAAAAAAACCAAGTCATTTGAACAAATTTTAAAAGAGTTGTTCCGTTCTGAAGGGTGTACGAATACTTTTTACACTCACTGTACATACCGAGTGACACTCTCTTTCATATCCCACATAATATTGTAAGCAATAACAAGAGCAGACAGTCTTTCCACATCCATAAGCACTGTCTCACGTCACGCTTAGTTCAAAACAAACTGCAGAACAGGCGGGCACGGACGAATCTCTAGTCACTACACACGAAAGTCTAGTGGATACGATTCTAGCGACTATCTGAGAGTAAAAACTCTTGAAGTTACTCTCAAATGGATACACCATGTGATAGTACTTTCGAGCGCAACTCGCGTAAGAAACTCTGAAATGGACGGCTGCCTTAAGGATCCATCTTCAATTATTCATTTCGTTTCCATTCATCACAAACGCTCAATTATCCAATACATTCACGGTTCCACGGTTTCAACTGGCATCGGCCTCTCGTTAATTTTTAATAGGGATGAACTCGATTCCACTTTGTCATCGCTGTGTTACTTCGGTTATTTAATTTTCCATTTATGCAATCCCGAGGAGCACAAGTTCGAGAACGCTTTTCCTCTTTAAGCGTACAAGGATAAAGTGCTGTTTCGTATTATTACAAGAAATACTTCCTCTAATCTCGTATTTAAAATGCAAAAAGACGTATATACTTTTCAGTAAACTTCGTTAAAATCTTGACGGAGATTGTATAAAGAGAGAAAATTGGAATATACAGGGTGTAACAAAAATGTTGCAAGTCCCTGAAATGGATCACTCATGAGCCGATTTGGAACAAGTTGTTCCTTTGCAAAAATGTTCTCCGAGGCTTTGTTAACGAGATATAAATGAAAAACCCCGACCAATCAGAGCACGAGTCTGCCGATCGAGCTGCCGTGGTAGCGATGGCTCCGCGCTGCGCTTCTGCTACGAAGCTACGAACAAACAACTCGACAAGCATCTGCAATCACAATGAAACTGCGTATAATAGCAAATGAAAAAGACGTAACAAATAAAATCGAACTTTTTGTCATGTTTTGTTCGTCATTTAAAGTTATTAATGAATAAAGCATAAATGGAGGAAAATCATGTGTAACGTAAAAAAACGAATACACAGATCTTTTTTAAACAGAATCGGTAATAATAAATTATTTGAAGTGAGATGATAAGGAATACGTAAATTTCCTTTCCAAATAACGTATTAACGAAAAGGTATTGTAACTGAAAATGAACGAGAGGTGATCGTCGTTCGTTATTGAGATGAAAATCCGTAGTTTAATAACGGCCAAATCGCCTCACGAATGACCCATTTCAGGGACCTACAACGTTTTGGTTACACCCTGTATACGGAATTTCATGACAAGCATTACGCTTGAGTAATAAATTCGTGCGGAAATATTTAATTCTAAAACTATGTAAATCGAACAAAATTAATTTTTTGCCTGTATACAAAACGCAATAAACCTCTTAACATATTTTGTTGCTTTGATTCCATTTCTGATCAGCTGTTTCTTATATTATGTTCTTAATAAGTGTTTCATGCCGCATCAACTGTAGTTAGTATTTATTAGCACGATATTATATTACATGATTAGTCGGTTATTAACTCAATTTTTACCAACATTGTATCAATATCACATACATAATTCAACAAATATTTGTAATTTTAATGTAACTTGTAGGATTTTCCTGTAGAAAGATTTCAATTTTAGATGGTCCGATAAATACTAACTTTAATAACAACTTCTGTATTCCAGTAAAAGTTAATACAATATAGATAAATATTCGCTTGTAA